GTAGTGCAAGGATGCAGTCAGTTTTCTCCCAGGAAAGACATCTTAAATGTCAGGAAAACCATGCACGAGGCAAGCCTGCTTCTGTCCGTTGACTAAAATGGGAATCCAAACGAGTTGATTCATGTCACCTTTGTAGACTCCTAAAATTAGGCAAAATGAATCTCATTTGCAACACCTGAGCCTCTTCTCAGGGCTATAGGAATGTGAGAGATAAACGGATGGTTCAGTTTTCATCTCTGTTATTAGTTGAACCTTAACCTTCTGGGACCACAATAGGATTTTGACTGAATTAGGAACATCTCAAATATCATCAGCCCTACATATCTTGTTGTCACAGGTCAACAGCAATGTTCTATAAGGGACAGCCTGGGAATAGAAATAGGGTGATGGTTTTTCTTTTCCAGGCCAGAACTGCGTACTCTGCCCCACAAACTGGAACTGGAAAGGTGGTGATACGTGTTACTACCACTCCATGGAAAAGAAGTCGTGGGAACAGAGTCTCCAACTTTGTTCATCTCAAAACTCTACTCTTCTTCTGATAAAGCAGAAAGAAAAGCTGGTATGGACTGGTTTCTCACTCTGTTTAGTGTGGAGGAAGTTCTTACACCCTATCAGCTACTTGCCTCGCACAAAATTTTCTTAAATGGCACCATGAGCAGAAGTTTTTCTGCAGTGGTTGAGCTGTCCTGGGCAATGCTAAGGCATACAACTGGTCTACATCACTCAAAGCGTGGCCTTTCAAAGTGGCTGGCCATCAGGGACAGCCCATTTTGCCTTAGCTTGCCATGGCTGGCATCTTACTGGGTTGAAGGGTGAAAGCAGGTTCATGGCTGCTTTGCTGTAGGTAATGATTTCACTAATTTTACCAGTATTGCAGATCCATACAAGGATTTGGTAAAGATATTTCTGTGAAAATGTCTTTTAACCTGTTTTTTCCCCACAGGCAAATCGTAGTCTTCCCCATTTTGCAGAACTTCTTTCCACAAAAGTTGATCTCATCTTTTCAGTCAGGATTAGCAATGAGCTGCTGAAACCTGGCCTAATCTTCTAGTAAATGAAAACAAGCTGAGCTGGGGAGAGAAAATTCCAGGTGCAGAGGGAAATAATGCTTTTGCTTCTGAATGCCAGCAGATGCATTGGAAGAAAAGGCAGAAAAGTTGTCTCAAGAGCTAGCAGTCAGGACTGGGCCTGCCTGCTCTCCAGCACTTGACAAATGTCAGTTTCCCTCTCACTGAGCTACAGGCCATAAGGTTTGTCCCAGGAGTAAAGGCAAGCAGCATAATTCTCACCCTCGCAAACTGGTGACAGAAGTGATCGTGTAGTCTGTTCTAGCTGTCTTAATCATGGCATTGAGAGGTATGAAACAAAACAGAAAATGGAGAAGTGCAATCGGGGTGACAGTGATATGTGAAGGAAGGAAAAGAACAACAGAAAAATTGAATTCAAATCTTTAGAAATTTTCCTCCAGCAGCAGTGAGAAAACCAGCGTTATTCAAATCTGCATTCTCACCTGTTCTGCTCAGAGCATTTTTTAAGACTAGAATATTGCTTAACTCTAAGATCTCTTCTACTTGTCATGTTCCAGCTTTTGGGAATAAGTTAATGATGCTAGAGCCAAGTGTGACAGTTCAACAAATCCAAGGGAACGGCTCCCTGCAGAGGCTTCCTTTTTGCTGTTCACAAATGCTAAGGACAGAGTCAAGAAGGAGGAATGATTCATGACTAAAGGGGGGAGAATGATACAGTGTTTCACCCAGAGGGTTTATATCAGGTTGATGAGGGTGACATTGCTCTTCAGAGCTAGAAGTGCATGTCCTCTCCTATTAGGAACAGTTCTACTGTCGTTTTCACTTTGATACTAGGTAGAACTTAGATGTAAGAGCATCTAAGTGCAGAACTTGTCCTGACAGGTGGAACAATTTGTGGTGTTTATGTTCTTTAAGCAACTTCCATCAATGATTTCAACTTCTGAACCTAAATATTTGTTTTTAATATACTCCTACTAAACATCCATTTTGAATTGTCCTTACTATGCATAGGAATTGGTAAAAAAAAACCCTGAAGCAGAATACTGGCTTGGATTTAGAGTTGAACAGAGCGTCTGGTATTGGGCAGACAATACCACTCTTACAGAACAACAGAAGTCTTGGTAAGCTGTCATCTTTCTTGAAGTACATAAAGTTGGTCCTCACCCACGTACAACTCCCGGTTTCTGTGACTCAAAGGGCAAGTTGAACATTGAACATTTATGCATCTCTCTCTGTATCGTGGGGCTCACTTTTCCATTTCAGATTTTTCTTGACCTCACCCAGAACTGCTTGGAGGGTGATCTAAGCACTATTACTGGGCAAAAAAAATAAATATCTAGAAAGTTTATTTCCACAAGTTAATTTCAAATAGACCATAAATGTCATATGTTTCTCTTATATTTGACATCTTGTTTCAGTGAGGAGACAAGGTAAATATCCAGTGGAGAGGTGTTTCATTTCATGCTTTTGATTTAGTATCTTGTTACTTTCATAAAAGGCACTATTTGTTCTCTAGAACCATTTCATTTCACTTAGGTTGAATGCATTATTTCAGAAATACAATATATTTTTCCTCCTGCTTTCAAACCTGCTTTACCAATTTCCCTTTTCATCATTGGGCAGTCTCCTCTTAGCATTTCTGTTGAAACAGCCACTGACAGCCTCCAGTCAGTACCCAGGAGTTAGTGTTTCTTACTGCCAAGTACAAGAAACGGTTTAGGATCCACACTTAGTTTCCTCTGGGGGTGCTTGTTGGCATGTTCAGGATAGGGTCAGCCTCCTAGGAGTTGGTACACGGTAACACTAAACACTTCATTTTATTGCTGGGGATATATATTCTTCATGAAAGCCATATAAGGAGTTCTTGCAAACACAGCTTTTTGGAAGGGGCAAGGATGCACCATATGAAAGAGGTGTGATGTAAAAATAACGATTCTTCTTTCCTAGGGTAAAGCCTAAATACTACTCCCAGGGCAGTTGTGGATCAGTTTATCATACTACCATATATTTCAAATCATGTAAAGAAGTGCTTCACTATATCTGTGAAAAGCCTGCCGTCCAATTACAGCGATGTAACAACTCTTGTCAGGAGGGCTGGTTTGTCAGACCAAATGATTATGAGAAGCTAGGAGATGCTCTGCAAGGTTGGAATTTTTTATTTTCTTTTTGGGAACTATCACATGAGAATTTAAATATGTTGTTATCAGTCCTAATATGTTTCCCTGTTTTCATTCTCTTTTAGACATGTAAAAATATCTTCATATTAAGGAAATGGGCATGATGGCAGGTTCCAGGAGCACCCCAAGTCTGTCATTCCAGATTGAATACTGCCAAATAATTACTTAGTTTTAACCAACACAATTGATGGACAAAATGGCCAAAAGTGACGGCCAGGAGAAAAAGTACAGTGACAAGCACAGAGATTCATAGTCTTCATAAGGACTTGCGCATGTGTCACAGGAGAAGATACCCTTCAGCTATAAATGTCAAGCTCTTTTCCATGTTCTATACATCTTCCTGGCACTGTTAGTTCTCTTACACACACACACCCCCCCTTCTTTTCCCTTTTTCTTTTTTCCTAGTAATAATTCTGCTCTTCTTCTAATTCTTTCTAATTTTCTACTTTTTTAATCTATTGAAGAGTTACACTGGGTTTGAGTCAGAGGCATGAACAGAACCTGCTATTATGCATTTTTAGATATTTCCTGAATGCCATGCTGCTAATTTAATGTGCTGAGCAAGGGTCTACAAACCCAACCATAGTGAAAATATCCCAAGCAGTGCTAATGAACAAAATGTCTCCCTCCACATCTCCATAGAACAATGACAGTCAAGTTGAAATGAGAAATTGCAGTCCCATAACTGTGTTTTGATTTGAGCAAAAAGTCCACAATTTCTTAGCTTGGTCTCCTCTGGAGACTTGTGCATTCCTTGTGGATTTCATCCCAGATTATTTATTGTGGATCATCTACCAATGGTGTAGCAGCTGGGCTTCTGAAGCATTAGTCATTCTCTTCAAGAGGCTGTTCTAGTGTCTCGCTGCTCTCAGCACTACGCAACTATTTCTGATCACCGACATGAACATTTCGGGTGTTATTTTCAAATACCAGTTTCATACTCTGGAAACCTTAGTGGATTTCTTTTCCTGCCTGCTGTTTACATTCACCAATTGCATCTGTAACATAACTCTTCCTATCTGCTCCTGTCTTTGGGGGTGAAAATGCACAGTGCTTCTGTCCTGTCATGCAGACACAACCCTGCTGACTTCCTGGAGTATCTCTCAGCATTCATACAAGCTTTACACGTGGAAGGTATTCTGAACTGTACTCATGATGCATTCTCTTGATAATGATGGGCTTTGCTTTAATTTGCAGAAATAGTAAAAACAAAGAAGGAAATAAAAAAGAAGTCTGACCTTTTAAGTTTTCTCTTATGTTAGAGCGACTGTGAAGAAACAGGAAAGATGTTTCCAGGATGTTTTTGTATTAACAATCCATGTCGAGGATCAGATGGGCTAATCCTGGGTGGTTTTGCAGTATGTGGAAGACAAACATGTCCTGAGATTGACAGCTCTGCATGCTGACAAGCAGCCAAAAGGCTACATCATATCTTTGCTTTTACCTTTTGTGTCAATTTACTGCTGGCCCAAAAGCAGTTTCCAGTGCAGTGACTGTATTTGTAACTGTAAAGGCAGGTGAGGTTAGAGTATGGTTTCACAGTGTGAAACAATGTCTGAAACACACACACACACAAAAATAATAAAAGGAAGGGAAAAAAAAGGAAATAAAGTAAAAATCACCCCAAATTAAAGAGAGGCAGTATCCTACCACTCACTGCAGGCATTCAGAGTGTAGCGGTGAACAACCCTGTCCAGCAAGCTTGCAGCTGGCAAAGGGGATACCCTGGTTGTGGGGTAATCACAAAGGCTTTAAGGATGTGCTGTCAGTATCCCCTTTTCCACTGAAATTATAGCAGAAGAGGCACAGAAATGTACTGTTTGTGTATTGGCTGAGATGGCATTTTTGAATCACAGTTCCCTACAATAGTGTGTTTCCCATACCTAAATTCCACTCCTCACCAAGCCCCTTTCCAATCCCCCCAGCCATAGACTCCAGATAATACAATTTACTAAGTCACACTCTGGTTAATAAACACAGCTGTTTTGTCCAGCCTGCTGACAATATTTATACGAGTGTTCAAACGTAGACCCAAACTTCCTGCCTTAGTTTACCTTTTTTCAGTTTGAAGAAACAAGACATTTTGCCTGCTCTGCATCCTTAAAGGTCAGAGAGTGTGATAATGAAGTGCTATAACTGACAGGCTGCTTATTGACTTCAGAGCTAACAAAATGATAAGAGAAAATTACTTTGCCTCCTGTTTTCAGAAGTAAAATCAGATTGGAGACCTTCCCCCAAAGACAATCGATTACATACTTGAGAAGTTGTTGCTAAGACTGAAGAGGTTATAGTCACGTAAGCTGTCAACCAAATTCAGTAGCACACACTTGAATCCCAGTTATCTGCAGCAAAGCCTTTTTTTACACTAGGTGCCAACATACAGTTTTCAGGTCCAACAGACAAGTATTTTTGCACGATATTCAGCATGAGGTTTCTGTGAGGATATTATGGGTATAACATGAATACACAGTGACTGCTATTCCTTGTTATTCTTTGTTTGCTTCTCTGTGTAACAAAACTGACCGTAAGCACCCTTTACTCCCAACTTTTCCATCCTGCCTTCTTTTTGCATACAGGTAAGATATAATGCAAGAAATGCATGCAGTCCGAGATATTTTTGCTCTGAAAAAAATTCACCATCTGCAAAGCAAAGGAGGAATAGCCCAGTCATTGGAATGTATTACAGTTTATTTCCAGGTTGTTGATACTGTTTTGCAAATGGAAGAATTTGAACTTTACACACAAAAGCATGAAGAGCTACCACAGAAATTCCTCTCTTGCAAGAGAAGAATTTCCTTCCGTCAAGTCACCACAATGTGACTCATCATGTCTGGGGAGTGCTCTGTTTAAGGAGAGTTGGTCACTGAAGATGTTGAAGAACTACAACTCAGCATTGGATCAAGGCACTGCAGGGAGCTAGACATGAAGAGTGAGGATGGGCAAGCCACTTCTGCATGGTGACTTCTGTGTATGGTACAGCAGCAGAAAGGAGTTCAGTGAAGTCTAGTCTTCCCCTGACACAGGCTGAGCAGTCATGTGAATTACGCTGAGCTCCTGGCCTCACCATCCTTTCAGCTCAGCTTTTCCCCTTCTAGCATTTATTTCAGTAAATTTTTGTAAATTATTTTTTCATTTATTTTGTAACAGTGTATGGAGTTTCAGCCTGTTGCTTTCCATGCAGCTCTTCTGTTATATTTGTGCTCTGATATGTGAACAGATACCTTTCGAACTGCAATTCAAAATAGCAACTATTTCTAGAGCTTCTTATTTTAATGAGGTAGAAAATCCAGATATTTGCCTAATATTCCAGGGTCAGATCAGGTGGATAGTTAAATGAAACAGTCTTAAGTTCTGACCAGGAAAGGAGCCTTCCCATTTTCACATTCAGGAAGAAAATACCCATCTTTAACACTGCCACTTTAACTTCTTAATGTGCTTTCAACATGTTACACTTTTGCTATGACACAGTAATCAGACTAGAGCCAGCTTCCTTCGTGGTTTCCCTGGAAATGCTGAAAAATGAACTATTCTCATTGTCTCAGCATTGGTCGTGCTGCAGTGTACCCTTACTCCCAAAGTATTGCTATTGCAGGAAAGAAGTGTGGCTAGCTGGCGATGGAGGATGAGGAAGGCTACACCGCTTTAAATTTACGACCCTCAACTTCAGTTATCACTCCTGGATATTTGAGCAACAAGAAATGTTCTGCATTTAAGGCTCCAGGCAGTTGTGTTTTAGTAGACAGTAAGTACAATTGAAATTAGCTATTCTATTTAAATAAAAATGTAACTTAAATTTTCATGTTCATGGTGATTGCTTTAGAATCCTTCTAAACTTTATAGCATGCTCTGATATAAATGTTCATAAAGACAGCAGAAAGAAAAATCATAATGGAGTCTTGTGTGCTACGGGCTATGATCGCAGATTATATTCTTTCTGAAGCCTATCTTTACTCCAATTATTTTTTCCATTTATTTCAACACAGAAAACAAATTCCACCTTTATTAGGAATTTTTATCATTTTGGTAGGAGTCATTTTATACGACAGAGCACTACAAGAGAAGAAGGCTCTATAGTTTTATCAGATAATATAGGCCTAGGAAATGGAAGCAATTTCCTCAGCTGTGGGGAGTAGTGGTGCCCTGTTTATCAGTCTTAATAATGAATGTAAGCTCTGAGTACGTATTTTTATTTGTTTGTATCTAAATTTTTTCTGTAAACAAATTTAATGTTCATTGTGACCATTAAATGATGACTTGAAGACTGTTGCTGATGCTCATAAATTCACCAGGTGGCTTATGTGTGAAATAAATGTCATTGCTGCTATTTTCAGTTTGGGTAGAGTAGACAGAGACTAAATTAACATCACTTTGGTGCTGTCTGAAAAAGATCTAGGGCTATCCATTGAGAATGACTACTTGGCAAAGAGGATGCAGGAGAGGCTGTTAAAAAGCAGCAGCCAGAATCATAGAATCATAGAATAGTTAGGGTTGGAAAGGACCTTAAGATCATCAAGTTCCAACCCCCCTGCCATGGGCAGGGACACCTCACACTAAACCATATCACCCAAGGCCTCGTCCAACCTGGCCTTGAACACTGCCAGGGATGGAGCATTCACAGCCTCCTTGGGCAACCTATTCCAGTGCCTCACCACCCTAACAGGAAAGAATTTCCTCCTTATATCCAATCTAAACTTCCCCTGTTTAAGTTTTAACCCGTTACCCCTTGTCCTATCACTACAGTCCCTAATGAAGAGTCCCTCTCCAGCACCCCTATAGGCCCCCTTCAGATACTGGAAGGCTGCTATGAGGTCTCCACGCAGCATTCTCTTCTCCTGGCTGAACAGCCCCAAACCAAGAATAAAAGGGAGTGTGATCTAGCAGCAGTGCTTCCTGAAAAGAAACAGGTTGACAAGCTCAGAAAACTTTTAACTCTTTTGATATGCACAGAGAACATGACTTATGATCAAATTATACTGGGAGGGACCTCTATAGTTCATCTTTCTCAGTCTTTTGCTCAAAAGGGCTAGCTCTAAAGCCTGATCAAATTGCTCAGGGCCTTGTCCACTTGAGTTCCTGAAGCCTCCAGGGCTGAATATCTCACAGCCTCCCTGGGTACTTTTTCCAGTCCTGAAGGAAAAGAATTTTTGTTCTGCACATCTAATTGGAAATTTCCTTGATGCAACTTGCAACTCTCATATTGTGTCTTTTTGCTGTGCCTCTCTGGGAAGAGTTTGGCTCCATCTATAATGCCCTTCTAGGTAGCGAAGGGCTGAAATTAGGCCCTCCCTCAGGCTCCTCTTCTCCAGGCTAAACAAGCCTACGTCCTTCAGCCTCTCTGTAGGTCCCTGACCAATTCAGCGTTCCTCTGATGGACTCTCTGCACTTATCTGATATGTCTCTTAAACTGGGAAGCTCAGCACCAGACACAATACCCTGTTGTAATCCTTTCCACTAATCACTCTTACAATTTCACTGGCTTTATACTTCTGATAAATAATACCTCATAGTTTTTCAAGTCGTAAAGCATCTTCCAGAAAATACTGAGATTTCACATATAACATGGAGAAGAGAAGGCTGCGTGGAGACCTCATAGCAGCCTTCCAGTGTCTGAAGGGGGCCTGTAGGGATGCTGGGGATGGACTCTTCATTAGGGACTGTAGTGATAGGACAAGGGGTAACGGGTTAAAACTTAAACAGGGGAAGTTTAGATTGGATATAAGGAGGAAATTCTTTCCTGTTAGGGTGGTGAGGCACTGGAATAGGTTGCCCAAGGAGGTTGTGAATGCTCCATCCCTGGCTGTGCTCAAGACCAGGTTGGACAGAGCCTTGGGTGATATGGTTTAGTGTGAGGTGTCCCTGCCCATGGCAGGGGGGTTGGAACTTGATGACCTTAAGGTCCTTTCCAACCCTAAGTATTCTATGATTCTAAAAATGGCTCCATGATTGTCAAGTACAGTGGAATAATCACTTCTGTTGACCTGCTGGCTGCAGTCTCGCCAGTGCACCCCAGTCCTGGTCACTTTCACTGCCACAAAGACACTTGAGGACTCACATTGAACTTGTCCATCAGGACCCTGAAGCATAGCTTCTTTCTAGTCTCCTACCTGTACTGGTGCATGGACTTGTATTGTTACACATGCCAGATACCATATTTGCCTTTGTTAAGCACTTACAGCCCATTCCTAGGATTTTTAGGTCCCTTTTAAAAGGAAAGCCTGCTTCCAGCATATCAGTCACTATCTCAATGTGGTGCCATTTACAGTCTCTTCAAATTGCATTAACTGATGAGGGTTAGGGTCATCTCACTTAACTATGGCTATGTGAGTTTTAGTTGCCAAGTCTATCTGGACTTCTAGGCATCTCTGGTGTTTCTTTTCACCTAACAAAAGTGTCCCTGGAGGTGCTTGCTTTTACACACTGGACTCCAGTAAAGAACTTGTTATGTGCAATCTTTTTCAATAAGTCTGAACATTCTAGAATAGATAGTATGAATATCACAGAAAACTGCTGAGCACTGCTTCCCAACAAGGAAAAATGCATATATTTTTAATATATATATGTGGATACTCAGCTGTAAAATTCTGGAGCACTATAATCCTAATTAGACTTTGAATCACAATGGAAATCTGAAGAAAGAGCCTGAAGAAACGAGAACAGTTTAATGTACAAACACTGCGATTATTTAGAAATCCCAATCACGGGTTCCAGAAGTAATCATTGAAACCTAGGTGGTAAATTTTACTTTTTAAGATGAAGAAGTCACAAGAATTGTTTTATTATTTCCAGAACAGTGAGAACAGCAAAATTTAATCTGTTTATGAGTGTCATGAGAAGAAGTTGTAATCTAACAGTCGAGCCTTAGTTAATAAATATTCTCAGTGGTAAGTATATATTTTCTCAAAATTACTCTAGGAAATTCAGAACAGTGATTATAAAAACTGCATTGAGACAAAAAAAGAGGCTCTGCAGAAGGAAGTTGTGAAAGCTCCATCCCTTGCATTTTAAGTTTAAGGCCAGGTTGGACATAGTCTTGGGTGACACAGTTAAGTGTGTGATGTCCCATGTCAAGCAGGTTGGACCTGGATGATCATAAGGTCCTTTCCAACCCTAACTATTCTACGATTCTATGATGAAGATGAACTGGTGTTGTTAGAGAGGAGGTAACATCACTGCATGGAGAGAAGAGTTGTTAGTTTTGTTGCTGAATGTGTTTATTGTTTGTCTCAGGAGCCTCTGCCTCATCTTCCATATGGCGGCCAGTGGCCTTTGCTTTCCTCGCTTTGTGCGTGGTGCTGCTGCTGGGGCTGGTAGCCCTGCTGGCCCTGTGTAAGTACGAAGGTGTCTCAAGATGCTGATGTGTGAGTGAATTCCAGATGTATGGCTGCTTCTTCTCTCCCTGCAGACTGTCCCTGTTTCCGCAGTGAAAATAATAAGGCAAGAAGGGAAACAGTGCAGCTCTCCCACAGAAGTAACCCCATGGCTGAGTGTCAGCACAGGTCACTCAGGATCACTACTATCAGCACGTATAGTTACCTTAACCATAATGGTCACACTAATCCTAACACAAGATCTAAACCTAACTAAACTTAACCCTAAAACTAAGCCCTAATCTTAATCCTAAACTCAATAACCCTAACATTAAAAATGATCCCTGATCCTATCCCTAAGCATAAAATTAACCCTTAAACTGAACTCCAAGTGTAATCCTAAACCATAAACCTAAACATAACCCCAACACTAACACCTAATGTCTAACTCTAATCATAGCGACCCTAAACCTTCTCCTAATCCTAACTCCAACCTTAACCCTAACCCACACCTTTAAGCCTAATCCTGACCTTCACCCTAAAACCTAACCCTAACCTTCACCCTAAAACCTAACCCTAACCAATGACTAACCCTAACCCCTAACCCTTAACCCTAACTCATATCTGGAATGTTTAATTTCCACAGTGGTAGCTCACCTCATTAGATACACAATCAGGGTAGTAGTGCTTCCCCCACCCCCTGTGACTGTTACTGGAATATTTCACAGCTACTCTCTTTTTTTCTTGGATTCCAAGCTTTTTACAAGGAGGGCAATTCTGGCATTGAAGCACTGTGACTGGTCCATTTGTCCACAATTACAGCAGATTTTCCACAGCAACATTTCAATGAACAACCAAATATGATGCCAATACATTTGGAAGCAGAGACAGGGAATCCTCGTCTCCTTTTTGGCAGGAGGGAAGCAGTTCCAGGTGCCCAGAACAAATACTCAAGGTGGTCCATGGCATTACAGCAATGTTAGCTCAGAGGCAATTCTTCAGGTTTCTACTCTGACACCATCCCTTTCTTCCCCACAATACAAAGCTGAACTGTCAACAACCCACCTGTAGCTTTGTCTAATGACCTCTGAAAAACTTCAAGGGTGGAGATGCCCTCACCTTCCCAGGTGACCTTTTCCAGTGCTGCACAACCCTCCTGGTTAAGAAAATGTGGATGATGTACACACGATGGTGGATGTACAAATAAAGTAGACAAAAAGAAAAAAAGTCAAAAGCTACAAACTGAAGCTGCAATTAAAGCTACAATTTTTATAAAACCAATCTTTGATAAGCAGTTTCATACCCTTCAGTTTTTCAGGTTTCCAAGGACCCTGAGGAAGGAAAGAAGCTGCAGGAAATGAGGGAAGCATTATGTTTTGAAGGGAAGGAGAAGAATGGTAAATGTGGTTGTTATGTAAATAAACACAAATCACCCCCTTTACAGAGCCCATTGTCTGAGACACTGTAAAATCACAGGAAAAAAATCTGACTGGTTCATGTCTGGTTTTAACTGTGGTAGTATTTGAGGTGTGGATATGTGTACACTAACATGCAAAACAATTTATCTCTTGCCCCTCAAGAGCTTAGCTGATTCATGGCTCCCCCTAATCTTTCCTCAGTCAAGCCAGTAGCTAAAGCCCTGTATGCCTCACAAAGTCTTCATAATACTCCTTCTGATTTCTAGAAACAAAATGTGCCCTCTGTCCAGCAAGCTGGCAAAACAGTGGAGCTAACAACTGCTTCTACATTTCAAAGCAGAAGAAAACATGGAAGCAAAGTCAAGAGTTCTGTTCCTCAAGAAACTCCACTCTTCTTGTGCTAAAAGACAAAGCAAAGATGGTACATCTTTTTTTATGCTTTTAACCTCATGCATTTCTTTATGTGATGTGTTTTCACACAGGCAGAAAGTAGTTGGGTCATGTGTTTAAGTTTCCCTGGTGAAGCAGCCTTCCTGGAAGTCACAACATTGTCATGACTTGCAACGCTTTCTAAATTGTGTGCTGTGAAGATTACGCATTACATTAAATAGAACAAGCCATTGCATAAAGTACCTTTGTTAGCTAATACTTAGGTTTTCACAGAGAAAATAATTTTCATATTATCAGCATGGAGGAGAGAGACCCAGCACACAGAATGCATGCTTTCATTCTCTTTTTCCACATGTTTTATTACTACAGGCTCCCGACATCAAATTCACATCTACCATGAAATGTAGAGAGTGTCTGATTCATCATGGTACTATCATTTGCATGCTGCAGTGCAAAATGGCTATAAAAGGTTGTTTTCTGGTCTTGTGTTATGCCCTCACAGAGAGCTGTTAATGGTAGCACAAAGACTAGACAGCCTTGGACTTTAGGGAATTACTAATTTCAAGTAGTCTTACTAATTTGGGGTTGTTTTTGATAACTAATTAAAAATCTCTAATTTGCTGTTAAGATCATATTTTCCCTTTTTGTACACATATATCTAGAAACTTTTTTTCCAAAATATATTAAGCTTACAAAAAAAAACCCAAATAACCTTTTTTTTGCTACATAAAACTTCGAAAAGGAAACAAGCTTCCCTGAAAATCTTTCTCCTTTTTCCAGAGGGAGTTAGTTTCAGACTGGGGTTCTCAACTATTATTTTAAGGCATAAAGGATGGCCTTTTGGCTTTTTTTTTTTTTTTTTAATGAAAAACAGATGAGATTTAAGTGAAAATCAGAGACAAAATAGAAAGTGGAGAAATGATTTATTATTGTGTTTAGCAGCATCCTGAGGTTAGAATCATGGTTCCCATTGTTGGGAGACACCTGAACACCACACCTTCAGTGTTGAAGAGATTGTTTTGATGTGCTATATATATCCCTGGATAGCTTCATTCCAGATGTCCGGGTGCTTATTTTTATTTCCTTGTTTGGTATAGGCAGCTGCAGCTAGGATGAGGCCACAGCAGTTTAAGCCAGCTGTGAATTTTAGATTTTGGATGAGTACCTAGACATGCTACTAAGTAGCAGTAGAGTAGTTGGATGACATGAAAGGGCTAAAATGCTGAGGAATCTTTTAGGTAGCACTTAGGTGCCTATGGAATTATTCCAGTGCCTAAGCACAGGTTTCTAGAGCAATCTGAAATTACCTGTTCAACCTCCAAGCAATACCTCAGCAAGGCACAGTTCTCCCATAGGTTCTCAGTCCTGTCTGTCAGCCCTATGTAAAGACCTCAGACCAGCTGGAGAATCTCAAAAGGTATGAGAGGCCTGTATTTAGGTCACAGACTCTGCCCTCTAGGTTGGGAATTATCTCACCTAACTTCAGGCATCTACAGCATAAGTGGCCTGCAACTTCAAAGCTACTTCCTCAGGCTCTGTTAACAGTCACTGGGAGCTCTGGGCTATAGGAAGTGCTCAGTAGCACTCCCACTGGGTGAGGTGGGTCAGTTGTCATGCTCCACTTGGCCACACTTCTGCTGACTCCAATCGGTGCTTAAATAGTGTTCTCATAAGTATATCTAAATTGCAGATGTCTAAAGGCAGTGTAGATACCTAAAGGCAGACAAGGTTTCTGTTTATTTTAAAAAGCAGTGGTTTTACAGATCATTTCTCTTTTTCTCATTTACAGTACATTTCTCGCAATTCAAGAAACAATGATATTTGAATGATCCTATAATTAGAGCAGTCAGTATTGCCTCATAGAAAACAAGCATGGAGAACAGATCACTTTCCTATTGAGTAAGAGTTACCTCCTTTGGTTGCAGAACCTTCAAGAAGACACAGGAACTTAGGTCTCATTTTTGAAATATTATTGTGATGATTTTCTCATACGTACAGGTTTCTCTGCCACAGGATTCACAGTTTTACTGGGTTGGATTATCATACATATCTGAAAGGAGTGGCTGGTACTGGGAGGATGGAACAGCTTTTTCAAAAGAAGCAACAAATTGGTAAGCCTTCATAGTTTAGGACCAGTGCAGTTCTAGCCGGTGTGCCCCAGTAAATTATATGAGACTTGTGCTTCCTTTTACTTGCTCATGCTTGTCACATGTGCAATGATGAAGGAGCATGGAGACTATAGTATCTGCTATGGAGCTTCAGATTCATGTCCTGTGTAAGGAACAATGGGTGGCAAAGTACAGCTCAATCACAGTAACATGATGAAAGGACCACCTAGCACAAATAAAGTATCTCCAAGGGGGAAATAACTCTACATTCCAGTGGAAAATGATTACAAATGGGCTAAATATCAATCACGTGCTATTACCAGGATGTCATTAAAACATATTTTTTAACTTCCTAGGGTTTTGTTATATGACAGCATCTTCTGTGCCTCCTTATATGGACGGATCATTTATGCCAGCCACTCCTGTTCAACACAGCAGTTCTGGATCTGTGAGAAAGTGGCTGTTCATTTCACCTGAAGAAGCAGTGCAAGAAGAGATGTGGGATCTGCCACTGTGAGATACCCACTTTAGGATTTGTCATGCAGTTTTCTCAGAACAGTGATTCAAATGGGTGTGTTATTAGAGGCTAAGTCTTCCTCTTTGTCTGCATTTTCCCTTCCAGGTTTACAAATCAGAGAGGAAAAAAGAAAAACAACCTACAAAGCTAGAAACTACTAGCTGCAGTCAAGCAATGATTCTTGCATGGCTAAGTTGACAACCACAAATTTTTGCAGAGCTTTATGTTTTTGAGCTTCAGTCAGCATTTTACACTAACACCTGCCAGGCATGAACCAAACCGACCACATCTTTGATGATTTTTCTCACTGACTTTCTTAATGTATGCACTAACTACTGTCCACACATAACCCTCTTCTAGAGCAGTTTGCCCAGGCATGCCTTCTTTCCTAAATCTATTCTGCCAGCTGTTACCCTGGTTGAGTTACAGGGACACAGAAAGAACCCAAAGCTCTATCTATGCATAAAAATATATTCATATATATATATTTATAAAATTTAAAGGACAACTGTGAGAAGACTACAGGAAATCCCTGGAAGCAATCTCTTCAAAAAAGCAGAGTCAAATGTCACATTTGGATTAAAATATTACCTGAATAACTTCAGTGCTATGATATTATAAATTGCTGTGCAAATTACAGTAAGAATATTAATTATGTGCTCCATTCAGAGCTACACACAATTTGTATTCAAACTGATGCAAAATCCATTGCCACACTTGAGCTCTTCTATTATATCCACACTGCTTGAGTTCTCTGGACCCCAAGGTACACACTGTGCATCCTGTATTATTAAAGCACTTGTCATACTTCTTGAAGGAAGATGATGCCTCAAATTTTCTGGGTGGAGTTTCATTGTATGAGTTCCTTGAAGTTGTATGTCAGCATCTGTTTTGTATTACATATGCATATATTCCTTGTGTATATATACCTTGTATTGTGTGCATGTGCCTTAGTATTTGGAGACTTCCCTTAAAATAAGTGAAAAAATGATAGTATGTTTTTAATATTAAATATTTCCTTGGAAAATATTCTTACAGACTGAAGCAGTTCCTTGGTATAAAAATGAACCCTTGTTCCTAAAACGCTAAAATATCATAGAATCACAGAATCTTTAGGGCGGGATGGAGCTGGGCATCACCTACAGATGTCGTGGTCCAGAATCGTGACACCTACATGGCAATCCACTCTTATTTTTCAACCAAAAACTACCTGCCTACTGACTATCTGTTGAGTGCTCTCAGGCACCAGAGAGTTTGGGAGATCTTCATCCTTGGAGACTGCATGAGATTGACTTGGATAAGTCTTTGATCAAGTTCATCAGAGTTTAGTTCTGCCCCAGCTTTAAATAGGTGGTTGAACCATTTGAGTTCCAGAGGTTCCTTTTAAACAACAGCACTTAGGACATCAGTCTTAAGACACCATGGTTCAATCACGCATCTTTTCTTGGGGGTGCCTGAATTCTTGACACAGTTCTCAGCTCTGGCTCACGCATCTCTAATGACAAGTGTCCAGCTACACAACCTCACTACTACCCTACAGATTCACATTGCCCTAAGCCTGACTTGTCTTTCCCACAGAAACTTTTGCCCTTAACAGGAGCTTTCAACTGCTATTAGTTTGCCCATAGAGCATGGTCTTTCATGCTGTCCCTGCCTTCACTTGGTCAGTTTTTGCATTTGTTTTGTGTTAAATTAAATAAGCCTCTACTCATCTGAAACATCTGAGGCAGGAGGAGAGGTGCCAACCTCTCAGAGACTTCTCTCTTGACATCATGACTTCAATGCATCCTGTTCTCCTGGTAGGGGAATTTCCAGAGGAAAAAGGGAAGAGTGCACAGCACTGTGCAGAAAGGCCAACAAACTGTGAACCAAGCTTTGCAAGAAAAAAATGGGCTCTTATTGCAACTGAGTGGTGCAGAGGATTTGAGTTACTAAATAAAGCAGCATCCAGTCTGTTTCTCACGTCCTGAATTTTTCTCTCCAAGTTACAAAAATGTGGAACAGATAAAGCAGTTCTGGGTGGTCTACTATTGTTACTGTGTGCATTCTCCCCTAAAAATTATAGTGACTTTTCCCTTCTTACTCATAGATCACAGAATCATGGAAAGATCTAATTTTATAGCCCTTAACACTGAATAATCAAAAAGGCACAGAGCTGAAGTTAGTCTACCTCTGAGATGAATTGAAGGTGTTTGTTTCGGTTTTGAATGTGAAAAGTTCAAAGGAGATGGAAGTCATGGGAAGGTTAAATGGAAAAAAGGGGAACTACCACGCTGTACATATGCTGTGACTCATGTCATCCCTGCATGTCTTTAGAAGGGGGGATGCAGACCCAGGCTAAGACATATGGGTGAGAAGAGAGTTCTTCCCCTGAGGGAGGAAAAGGAGAAGTCACATGCAACATTTGAATACTAGTATCTTGCCTTAAGGCATATAAAGTGTGAGTCGTCCTCCTATCCCCACCCTCCTTCTGCTTTTCCTTTTGCTTCTTCACAAATCATTCAGTCTGTCTTTTAAGAGGATCATTACTGAACCCCGAATGAGTTCCCAGACCATGCCTATGAATACAGACGAAGAGGGTGGATACTCTAATTTATATCACCTGCCACAGCATCCAGCCAGATGCTACATGTCCCTGAACATCAACAAAGGTACAACTGATGCTTGCTCTTTGAACTTTCTGCACTACGACAATAATAGTAGGAACAGTTTATTTTGTTTAGGTCAGTAAGTAACACACTTATGTGTTTAATGTTATAGATTTTATGCACTATTTGGCATGGTTTTGTCTGACAAAACCCAGCATGCATGAATGTGAAAGTGCATAGAGTGGAACTACTGCCATTACTTGCCTTGAATTTCTGTAGGAAAAGACAGGTGGCTGCAGGATCAAACTCTAGAATGTAGGCATAAGTTTTTATGTGGTTAGTTTTATTTATGGTTTATTTATTGTTACAGGAAATGGCTGTAGACATAGGGCAATCTGACTTTAATAGAAAAAAACCCACCCTTTACTTTTTGACCTCTGAACCTTAATATGACAGAAAATGCTTAAGGCTGGAAGGGATGAGGCAGCATCAGGCCTGTTATGTCATTTCCGTTCTTCAAATCCCACAGGTCCACTTGGGCTAAATCATAGAATTATAGAACAGTTAGGGTTGGAAAGGACCTTAAGATCATCTAGTTCCAATTCCTTGTCATGGGCAGGGACACCTCACACTAGGCCATGTACTTCAAGAGGGCATCCAGTCTTAAGTTAAATATTTCTTTATCTAAAGGTCCATCATACCTCATTGCCATGGTTGTTTGGTGATGGTAACTCTCGGGAACTTTTGAACCCAGGGAAACTTCAGTGGATATTTTGCACTCTGGAGTTTTCCTGAATTAGGCTTCAGCCTTGTGGTAGCATGCAGAGTGAGCACTGTGTGCCCCCAGAGCAGGAAGGATTTCTGCAAAGTAGATGGTAAAGATGGTATTCAAACCATCCTTACTCTGTTCTGACAAAGCACAGTAACAGAGTACTACCAAAGGAGAACAGCATCATCACCTACTTCTAAGGCAAAGGATAACTACAGTGTTCCACAGTTTCAATATTCGTCAAAGACAAGCAATCCCCTACCTCTTCCATTTAAACCATGTCTAGTGTCTTCTTTCAAAGAGATATCTTTAACAGAGGCACCACATCTTCTGAGCTTGCATTTGGGTTGATCCTTAAAATATACAGCCTGGAAGGGGAACTCTTTCAAGAGTTACCATTTGGCTTTTCATGAAGGGGTGGAGGGTTGGGAGTGCTGCTGAAATGGGTACCTGCTCTTGGATAAATTGTTGATTTCTCCCAGGGCACTCTCTTCCACTTGCTGTATGGTGGCCAGCTATCTTTACTTTCTTTGTGCTGTGCCTGGCCCTCACCATAGGAATGGTAATCCTAGGTAAGTGCTCAAATATACTGTGTGCCTTTATTCATGTGTCCATTTTTCTTGAAAACTGACTGCTACACCAGGACATCATGTTAACACCTTCAACTGAAAGAAGAAAGGTGGCTGACTGTTACAAGGACAGTCATAGCTCATTCTCCCCACATATACAGTCCTTTCCTCTCCTCCTAGTTGGCTATGATAAACACTCTGAAGCTGAGTGCACATAAGGCTCTGAGGGAAGCAGTATTTTTAAGTCTGGACCTATGCTCAGAGCAAGGATATAGAAGTCAAGATGATACATTCTGGAAGAAGCGGGAGGAATGGATTCTGTCCTCATCCATCTATTACTCATTTATTTGCTAATTCAAATTAAGTTATAAAATTCTGATGTGACTGTCATAAATCAGTCTCTAGTTCCCCTTCACCTCTTCTCTTGTTGTTCAAGTCTCCCTACTCTACTGCAAGAGCGGTTCTTATCTCATTCCTTTGATGAACCTTACATGTTTGTGGACTACTTAAATTAATTCACAGTAGTACATCAAAAATGGGCACACTTTTAGTACTCAGATTCATGAGAAAATCTCAGTTTTTCTGTCTGTTTCACTCAGTCATCACAGAAAGACACTCATATTTATATTAGCTTTTATAATGTGTGACATGACTGTACCTATGTTTTCTACCATGGAGCCTGGAGATAGTAATTCTGAGATGTTGCTACTGGAAGCCAGTGTCAAATACTGTTGAGGAAGTTATATGAAAAAGTCCTCCCCACTTTCTTCAGAAATTTTACAAACTTTAATAGTAAAAGGCTTTTTCAATCTGAAGAACGTTTTGAATTCTAGTTTTTTTAAAAATCTTATAAAACTTCCTTTCAGATCAACACCATCAGTTCAAGATGGTCCTTCCTAAGCATATTTTTTGCATTATTTTAGTCCTTTATTAGATGACCATGTGATCTGCAATGACACTGTGATTAAACTGCGCTTAAAATTTGGAAATGTTTTTATTCATAATTTTCTGATCTGCTAATCTCACAATATGAGACACTGTAGCATCAGACTTGCATGTGAGCACGCTGTTGCAGAAACTGAAT